TTTACAGCAGAGAGGTAATCAGAAAAAGCTTCACATCCTTCATTCTCGGTATGTTTCAACATCCTTTGTGGTCCTCCGCCTTTTGCCCCTATTCCCTGTGTAAGTAATATTTGGCTTTGGTGCAAACAGCCAATCTAAATTTGATAATGGTTTAAACATTGAAAAAATAGTGTTTGCATAAACCGCTACAGTGTCTATGCTAGGTAAGATATCAACTGCTTTTAGCCATTGAACAGAAAAACAAACAGACCCTATATTGCGTGTCTGTGTGTGTGTGTGCATGTGTGTATTTCTGTGTTTTGTCTAAGAGCTTGTATGACTCTTGAACTTACAGCATCCTTTGTTTTGCTTGTCTTCCCCTTCTGTCGGACCAGTAGGAAAAACTTTGTTTATCTGGATGTGAATAGTAGCTGATTGTATATGTACGCTTTGTATATATATGTGCTGTAAACGTAGAATGTGGATATAAACACAGATACAGTTTGCCGCAGATAGAATGCGGATGCAAAGGAGGATGGGTATAAAAAAAGAGCTGCAAAAGTCAAGAAAGAACAGATGCATTAAATGAAAATTAGTCTTCTAACCAGCCATTGGTCAAGTAGCTGCACATATGAAAACTCTGAGATGATAATAAGACACAAACATCAAAGCTTTTACTTTATATCTGTCTCTAATCAATTAAGGGGCTGGATCTTGGTTAAAGGCATCTCCATTAGTGCTGCAATTGACCCTGCTACCGTCCCAAGGTTAAATCCTAATGGATTAGAATGACTAAAAAGGTAAATGACATTTTCGACAACTAATATCCCTTTACAGTTTTTATGTGGATCTGTGCCAAAATAATGTATCACATTCAGTGTTATAGGAAAATGTTTTAAATACACCCCAATCAAAGGCATAGTTTTAAAAACATATTTACACAGCCTTGACCTTTTTTTTTTATTTGATTTGATGGTACAATAACAGACATGAATATATTTGTGATGTAGTGTTTTTCATAAACCCCACTAATTGTGCAAATGATTCATATTCTATATGATTCACAAACACATTTGAAAGATTTTGAAAATATTTGTATTTAACCACATTTACTGTTAGACACTTATATAAAATCCAGAGCAACCGACTACATTCAGGAATCACTTCAACATTGTTTACTTGTGTGTATTTTACTGGTAAATTAGAAGAAGTTACTATTTTTTTAGGTCTACAAATTCCAGAAAAGGTAAAAACAATCCATTGGACTTTGTTTCCAAGTTTGAAGACGTTTCGCTTCCCATTCAGGAAGCTTTTTCTCAAAATGTCAGAAATAGTGTTGAGTTCAAGGTAAAACATAAAAACATAAGTGAACAATTATCATGAGAACCAGGGATAGGATAGGGATATATTTTTGAAAAAGACCAAAAAGTCCTTGGTAAGTTGCAGAAAACAACTGTTAAGGTAGGACAATCTGTCAACGGGATGAAAAATAATGGTGCATTTGGCCTTCATGGAAACATGGAGTAAAAGGCGTTGTTGAAAGTAAGCTATGCAATGTCCGATCGCCATTAAAAAAATAGTTTGGCACACTAGAAATATTTAGAACAGAGTGATGAGTGGGAATACTTTACTCAGCCAACACAGGGAAGCTGGTCTGAACTGATGAAAAGATGGATGGAACATAAAACACGGCAATCCTAAACAAAAGCTGCTTAGACAATGCAAAGTACTGCAGCCTTGCTCTGAGTTTTACTGTCCGGCAGGAGAAAACCACTAAACATATCTTTATATTTTCATCTCATAAAGCTTTATATAAGACATTAAACAGAATAATTTGGTTGGACATGTAAAAAAAAAAAAAAGTACATGTGAGAAATTTTTCTGAGATCTCAGTGACCTTATTGCTGCAAAAGGAGGAATAGTTTTCAGCAGAAGTGCGTCAGCAGGCATAGCAGAGGAGGTCAGACTGGAGAACAGAAGCCAACTTGAGGATTGATGGCAGGTTATTTTATGGCACGTGTTTCAAGGATCACTGCTCGTTTGCTCATCTGTTAAATGATCAGGTTATTATGGAAGAACCTACAAACTTAGATTTGCTTGTTATAATTATCTTTCTATGTCAAAATAAACAATTCTATTACATCATCAGAACCAGATGACTAAATTTTTGTATGATATATAATAAAGAGAGACAGATTTGTAAATCATGAGATGAAAATATGTGCGGATTTTAATAAGCCTGTCCCATTCTTGTAAAGATTCATGAAAATAGCCTGTAGGTGTTTTGTTTTTTCAGAAGAAGAGACATTTATACTTTGCACTTTACTTGAGATAACCTCACTCATATACTCACTTGTTCTGTTTTTTTGGTTTTCCTATTTTTAATCGCTAATTCATATACTGCATTTATTCACATGTTTCAATTTTGCCCTTGCTCTAATTTTATATATATATATATATATATATATATATATATATATATATATATATATATATATATATATATATATATATATATATATATTATTTTGCTTTCCACTTCCTGTTTGCACACAGAAATTTCCCCACTGAGGGGTAAGACAACTTTAGTTTTAACCAATTACTTAGTTGTGTGTTTTGTTGTTGTTTTGTTGTTGGGGTAAGTGCGTCAGAAAGAGAAAATAAAGACTCTACTTGGAAAATAGTGTTGCTTTGTGTGTAAATTTTGGCCACAGTACCAACAAGGAACCAGATTTTGTCTTCTGCCTCTCTAATCACATTCTTATGTTTGAGTCAATTTTTTTTTTTTATCACCACAATAAAAGATATGTGTAATCTGACTATTTTGCTTCAAGCAGTTCTCAATTCAAGGCTGGCTAATCAAATGTCCTCCCAGATAAGAAGCTGAGTATTTTTTTGTATGGTGTTATAGGGAGGACAATTCATTAAAGGTTTTACTTTTAAGCAGCAGGACTGAGTGTTTGTCATCTTGCTGGTTAATTTGTATGAAATGCAAGGTCATAAAAGCAAAAACATTTAGTCCTCTTCTCCTTTAGTTCTACAGTAATTACAGATGCATCTGTCTGTTACTTGTAGGAGTAACTTCATCCAATTTAGGCAAAACATCCCTGACTCATTGAGTTATAAACACAGGACCTCTGGAAGATAAAGGCAAGGCCAAAGTAAGATATATTTGTATAACAGTGTGTCCAAAAGAACAAAGTGGGCTAATGTTATTTTATTTAACTGTAAATATTTTCCATACTACTATAAGGTAGTGTTAGCTCCTATGGATAGGATTATGTAAAAAGCTTTAAAAAAGCTGAATCTGCTTTGCAGTTATATAATTTAAAAAAATTGGGGAAAAAAAGAAAACCTCAAGAGAGAAAATTTAAGGAGTGGAGAATGAAGCTTTGTTTTTATTGCTGTTTTTTATCTGTTTACTTTTACACAATTACTAATATAATCATTACATAAGTTAACTTGAATGTGTGTATATATATATATATATATATATATATATATATATATATATTTGATTATCATACATTAGCTATAAATTTGGCTTAACATAGAGGGATTTTCTCTCAGATAAAGAAAAATTTGCCTACTGTTAAATTATATAGCACTGCTTTGTTTAGAGATAAGGAAAACAATTAAATAAAACAACTAAACCTACCATTACTGTAAAGGTTTGAAACAGAAATATGCTTAAAAAATAAATAAACATCCAGACCTTATTATCTTCCATCACACTCAAAAAGGATTAAAGCTAAAATGAAAAAATTCCAGTAAGTTACGGTTCGAGAACTCAAGTGAATTTATTCAAAGGAAAATTATGCTACTGCTATAAGATGAAAAAATTAAAGCATTTTTTTTTCTCTTCAGCAGGGTGACAGCACTGAAAATATACAATAATAAAAGGATTGCATTATGAGCCCATATCATTTCAAAATCAACATTTTTTAAGTGTTTTGCTTTTCCTTTTATAACTTCAAATGTATAATTTTACATTTTACAGTGCAGTATATTACCCAAATTCCTCTAAAGGCCATTAATGAGCCTACTTTTTATAGTTCCACTTTACCACTGGCAGAACTTTGTTGAGGTTAAGTTGTGGTTGTCCTTAAATTTTGTCAATCGAGGGACTTTTTTTTATTTGAGGTGTAATGTTAATTTTTTTTTTCCAATATTTTTTCACTTTCAAAACGTTTTATTACCAAAACCTCACCATACGCATGAATTTAGATCAAAACCATGTTTCCTAGGTGGGAATCATTTGATTTGTTTGCCTGCCATGCCCCCCATGTCATCGGCCCTCTGCTAATTCCAGGGCTAAAATAATAAATGTGGCAATGCAATCATTCAGAGAAAGTGCTACTATTATATGTCGACCAAATGAAAGTGGGACACAATATATTACATGTTCACAAAAGCCACACCCTTACTTGAGCCAAAAGCAATACCGAGTTTCAAATGGAAGAAAAAAAACTTATGCTTTCTCATTAAATTATGACTGTTATATTATGCAACAAAAAGCTACAACAGCTTTGAATTTAGCATTTATTTTTGGGGAGGACTATATCAAAATAATGCACAGCATTTTAGATCCTTTATGGAAATAAATGGATAAATATGGTAAATACCATTTTTAAGCAAGCATAAGCTAAAAAAAATCCCATTTTTGTCCTTAGATTATGTTAATTAAATAGAGATTACATTTCATTATAAGAAAATACTTTAACTGACATAAAAATAAAAATTGTAATCAACTAAATGGTATTTGAAAACAAACCAAAATCTTATTTTTAGAGAATTTACTTATTGATTTAAAGCTATAATGTTTTGTAATAATAAATGACTTATGAAAAAATCAATAACTATATGAACTATAGACTCTTACATGAGAAACCAAATTGCTATACTTTTTGAGAAATGACAGACTTTTGTTTGAAGATTCCGTCATAAATTATGCAATGTAAACAAAAATTTTGGATAACAATAACTAACTCATAGACAATAGAAATTGTGCAAACACTCACTGTTTATCCATGCTGGGGTGTTTTTTTGGGGAGAGGACAATCCATTTTTCAACATTAGGCTATTCAAGATAAAATCCCATAACCTTCAGATCGGGTCAAGGTATAAAAATATGATGTGGTTTTGGAAGAAGAGATGTCGCAGCAGAAGAGGCGGCTCTGTCCTGCCTTGTTATGGCTAGCTGGTCAGTCCTGTCAGAACTATCACTCAGTGCATGAGTTTAGGGGGATTTGCTTCATGAACCATAACCTAATTAATCAGTGGTGCAAAAAGAAGGGGGGGGGGGGGGGGGTTACACTTGATATTTTTTTTACATAAACGGTCACACTTGTATGGACTCATTTTCTATAAGATAAGTAGAACATTATCTCATGGTCAAAATCTACTTATACTTTCATCTAACCAAGACATGTTCCAATGAAATTATCCAATAAAATATTATAACAGCTTTATTGTTCCAGTTCAGAACAGTGTAATGCCCATTACATTTTGTTTAGATTCAAAATCTCCCATTGTGCTTTGAGGAAAAGAAAGGATGAAAAATGGATGAAAAGTTGTGGGGCTGGCAAACGTTTGAAAGCGTTCCTAGTATGATGTTTGCTGTGGGGGGATAGTGTTACAAGCCAGCAGGCTGCTGGCTTCTCCTCCTTCTCAACGCTGCAAGTATTGAGGAATGCACTGGCCTTAGTACCGCAGGGAGGAAGAGAGCACTGACAGCAAGCAGTAAACACAGTCAGCGCATGTGTTTGTTTGTTTGCACGTTACTGTGTAAAAGGGCCAGGACCTGGCAGCTTCAAAGCTGCTCCTAAACAACATCTGTTCCATGAGTTTGGAGCACTATTCAGCCTTGTCGGGACACACCATGACTTCAAATTGTGGCTGTAAATCAATATTTTCCTTCTTCGGATTGTTCCACTGGCAGGGGATCAGAATGGACAAGCGTTCTTTGAGAAAAGTAGAAAAAAGAAAATGTTGGAGTGGATGTAGATGGGAGGGAACATCACATTCTTCCGATTCACCGCAATCAAAAACAGATTTAAAGCAATTAGTGGAGACTGACTTGGTTTATTGACTAAAAACACTGACATAGCTTCACAGATAACCAAAGAAAAACAATTACAATTTATTATGTTTGGTTATCTGCTCAAAGCTCTTATCAGATATAAATTAGTAGTAATCTTTCCTACTGTGTAACAAGATGATTGGAATTCTTTTCCATGAGAGTATTCATGTAGATGCTTAAAATTGTAAAGTAGTAATTTTCCCAGCAAAACATTTGTCAAACATCAAGAACTTTAGATCAAAAAACAACCAACTGCAAAGTAATAACACCCCTTAAACTTTTTAGCTTTTGTATTATGTTAAAATAAAGTTGAATGCTTCAATATGATTAAAATTATTAAAACATGACATTTATTTGCATGGTTACCCTTTTTTTTATAGTACCCCTAAATGGAATCCAATGCAACCAACTACCTTGAGAAGTGACCTTATTGGTACAAAAAACATAACAAAAGCAAAACTCTCAAAGTATTTTTTTAACATTGTAATTACAGCTATTTTGTGAAAAATTTGGGGGTATGAAAATCTTTATAAGGGACTGAAACTTTCTTTGCAACTGCTTCAAGATAGTCCTTCTGCTTACATACAAAATGTATTTTAAAGAAATAAATCAGGCAAACTGTAAATCTTCTGAATTGATTGTTGGATGTGTGGCCTCTCATATTAATCTTTTCCCCTGTGTAATAAGTGAATTAGTTGGATGTAGAGGATGATGTATGACAAAGGATGGCGTCTCTAAAACCTGCTGTAAATCCACATGCCATAGTCATTTAATAATGTAGGAAGGAGAGAGCCTGGCATCATTCTAAGATGCCAAGCGCTCTCTTATAAGATTCGCCGCTCTGAGTATTAGGGTAGTTGTAATAGATTTAGAGTAAATACACCTACATATTTCTGCCATTAAGGAAAGTGCATTTAAACAATCCTTTCTCTTCAGGATAAATAGAGACTAAAAACAAAAACTTCTACAAAATATCTGCAATTTTCAACCATTAATTTTTATTCTGGGAATGCATCTTGTAGAGATCATATTCAAAGACATTTTGCATGAATTCAGCATAAGCATAAAGATGTATGAAAACTGAAGACATCATAACGATCAGTTCATGGTTAGTTATACCATAACTAGATGTAACCTTCATCTAGCACTTTGTTTTGCTGGACATTTTGCATGTTAGTTATTCTAACTAGAAATCTCAAGGGTGGTTGAATATTCCTCCCTTTGAATGTTTTATTCATCATTAGGTATTTGGATTTTTATTTGGTCTGTCTTTTCATTACATTGATGTTAATTATTTTCTTTATCTGTTACTTTCATGGTTAAGTCAGTTAAATCTCTTACTTATCAGTTGTGTTGGGTTTCCTCTTCATTCTACTTCATTTCTCTCTTTTTGATGAAGCGTTTCTTATGTATAACTTAATTTAATGGGTTTTAATTAGTTCTCTTTCTTCAGCCTCCCACTTACCTTCTGCCCCAGCTGCTCCCCTAATCCTGTGATTATCACACTATCTTCCAAAGTCATTCTCCTCACTTCTCTAAGTATTTAAGTTCACTGGTGGCTTTGAGATCACCACCGGGCCTCGTTACCTTCTCTTTTCCTGTTACCGGTTTTCCCTCTTTCGCTCCTGTTTATCTGCCCATGCTCCTCATCATCTTAACTCTTTATTGGTTTTTATAAAGTTTCTATTTCATCATCAAAACAATAAAATCCCACAATCCTGTCTGCACTTTGGGGAATTATCTAACCCACACAATGTGATATTACTGCATATTTTGCATAATTTTACAGGGTGAATGTATACATTAAACTGAAAATGGGGGAAAAAAAGCTGCTGTGTGGGAATAGGGGTTGTATAGCTACATTTTATTACTGAGGTATGGGGATTCCAAATAAAATGCAGTCATAAGTGCAGAAAATGCATTTTTCTATAAGCTATTCATTTTAGTGCAGAGTAAAACATAGCTTAAAGTATTATCTAGGTTGTTTCATTTAACACTAATAACTAAAGTGATAAAAATGAGACTGATGTACAATTAGATTAAGTAATTTGCATTCAGGAATGAGTTTTCCTAGTCCAAATGACGCTGTATTGTTGTATTCACGGTATGTCGTTTAACTTTTTCCATATATCACATGCCTTGCCTTAACCTCCAGCCTCCAACCCCCAACCACAACAGCTGGTGTCTCAGCAAGGGCCCTGGCGTTATACTGCCACCCAAGCCTTTCAGTATACAACAAGCATTGTGGTGTTGGGGGCCCCTAATGGTCTTCTCAAAGAATTGTCCACAGTAGACATGAACACATGCATATCACATGTCATTCAACATAGTGATAAATAAGATTTTGTCCCTTCAGCAGGGAGTTTTAATAACTAGGAAACATTATAAGTAGTTTCTTTTTTACAGAGAAAAATTTATCCAATACATTTTTAGCTTTATTTTGAATATTAATTTAGTTTACAAATCTGATATAGCAAAACTCTCGCTAAGTCTTTTTAAATAATTCGTAGATAGATAGATAGATAGATAGATAGATAGATAGATAGATAGATAGATAGATAGATAGATAGATAGATAGATAGATAGATAGATAGATGCTGACAGAATGTGCTTCTTCATTCTGTCCTTTTGATTAAACAGGCATTTGTTCTCTGAGCTTTTTTCACCTCAAAATTGTAAAAGAACACAAAATAAACTTACTGAATTTATTTCACCAAGTGTTTTTAAATTTATAGAGCTCTTAAGTAACAAGTACCATAATAGTTGTGTATTTGTAATTGTAAATGGACTTTATTTTAACTTAAGAATAAATAAATTCAATAAAATAATCTTTATTGAAATAGAAATTTTGATGGCAGTTAAGATGTTTCTTTCATTAGCTACGTTTACATGCGCAAAATTTCCCCGATCCGATCCAAACCTTGGTTGATCGGAAATTCAAAATCTCCGTTTACATGGACACTAAATGAAATGATCCGATCATGACGTGTGTATACATGTACCAAGCGTTGGATCAGATTAAATCTTTTAAGCATGCGCAGAACTTCCTGCCAAACTTGGCAGTTCTGTCTGCGTCTGGTTTTTGGGAGGCCTGACAAACAATGTGCTCGGAGCGAGCGGAAAGAAAAACGGAGAGAGGAGAAAAAAAGCGCTTGGCAGCGAAATGTACGAGAGAAAATGTAGAGAATGAGCGATTGAACCGGCGTGGGAGAGCGAGTGGGCTGTGGAGAGAGAAAAGAGGAAGAGGATAAATTCCTGCTTCCTGCAGCTTTAAATGAACTTGAGTGTATAAGTCGGCGTTCCTAGACTCCTCCCGCCATGTTGTTCACAACAAGAGCGTGAGCGACCGGTGGTTTCCTGTTGTTGACAAGGCGGAAAAACGTCACGCTGACGTCGCACACATGCGCAGTGAAGATTGTTTTACTCTTAAGATCCGAATGGGTGTTTACATGGACGCCAATCGGAATGGCGATCGGCAAAAACCACCTCTCTCTTTCGGAATTAAATTTAGATCCGATCGGACCGAATCGGATTAGAATCTTCAGTCTGACATGTTTACATGAAACATTTTTGATCTGATCAGGCCTTCAATCCGATTAGTTGTGTCCATGTAAACGTAGCTAATGTTAAATAAAGCGATACTATGCCAGCTAGTAAGTATGACTTTTAGACATGCCGAGCATCTAAATAATTGTGCAATAAGGCATAAATATCTCTCAAATTGTTATGATCTTGGTGCTGATGGTTGGTCTGATTACTCTTTTCACTCACCTACTTATCTCCACCCTGTTTACATTACAGTTCATCTGATCCATCTGCTTTAGCCTCTATTTAACCAGCCATCGGACCAGTCATCAGGGCCAGTGGTGAGAAGTTATCTACAGTAGCATTCCTGTATTTCTGATTGCCTGATCCTGACCCATTTTGCCTCTCGACCACTGAGCTTGCCTGTTTCCATTCTAATCTGTTTGCCTGACCTGTCTCCGGACTCCTGCTGGATTTCTACCTGTTTGTCTGAACCTGAAACTGTTTAATGACTCTGTCCTGGATTCCACTTCGGCATCTCGACACCAGATTTGGCTTTGCGTTGTGGATTATCTTGCATTTCTTCAATGTATCTTTG